TCCCCGCGTCACTGATTGTCACTTGTTTCTTGTGCCATTTCTTTCCTTCTCTGTTCGATTTCAGCTACAAATCCTGCGCGCATTTTCTCCCCCTCTCTCTCTCTCTCTCTCTCTCTCTCTCTCTCTCTCGCTACATTCGCGATGCCTCTTTCTTCTATTTCAAATTCAAATACGGGAAATCGCAAGGCGGATCGTAACCCTACGCCTTGAGAACTGGCGATCCCGCTGACCATTCGGGTATCGATTTGAAATACCAAACTCTATGGATGCAGCAGGAGAAATGATCACGTTGCACCTAGGTTGCGCTAAGGGAGTTAATAAGAACGAGGAGGATAGAAGGAGATGGTAGGAAAAGGAGGAAGGAGGTGGAAGAGAGAGAGAGAGAGAAAGAGAGAGTATAATGTACCTCATTGTCGAATCACTTCCGGGGCTTGACCTCCAGTAACGCCCTAAAGACCAGTTCGCATGGACAATGTCTTGCGGATAATAGGCACCGATGTGCCCTATTGTAGGTCTAAAACGGCGGACGCGCGGATTGTCTAAAATACCTACTTCAAGATGGACCAGCGATTTAATATTATCGACAATATGCGATCCCTCGCGATTCTTGAGAAATCCCGTAAACGGGATCTACATTTTCAAAGCTGCAAATGAATTAATGGATTCCAGTAAGGAATCGAAAACGGAAACAAGGAATGTCAGTGTAATAATTATACTGAGCGAATAAGATTGATTTAACACACTTCTGATAATTTTGTTGTTTCCATTTTCGCGAAAATTATTAACTATGTAGGTTCTTTTTTATAATTTTTATATCTTTCTAATTTTGAATAATCAGAATTAATTAATAAAATGTTGATCTCTCAATAAGTTTGAGAGATGATATATCGATATGACAACGTCATATATTGTAACGATATGGAACCCTTGCGATTGACGATGGCACGTTTCTCATCGAGAATCACCATTAATATAATTTGTCAGTTGCATACGTCGGTAATAGCGAAGTTTTCCGACCGATTTGCCGAAAAAGTGCCCCGACGAGGCGCGTGCGGCTGCATCAATATGAAAAACAAGCGGCACTTCGGTCCTCCTTTTCTCCCACGTGGTCGCTCCGAAAGGCGAACGGTCTTCAATCCGAGTCAAGAAACCTCGAGAGGGGCAACCACGTGGAAAAAAAACCACCGTCGGTTTCAATATGAAAGACGAGGAAAAGTGAGAGGGAAAATACTGAAGAGCGGGAATACATGCGCGAATAGTCGAGAGAATAGCGGGAATCTCGTAGGCGTAAATTCAACATAAATCTCTCACACAAATGATCTTTAACATTCTCGGGAAAGAGGGAAAAAAAAAATTTTTAATATTTACAAATTTATATAATATAAAATTGACACGAAATTTATTCTCCAAAAATAATAATCTTTGAAATATATTTTTGTATTTTATCATTAACTTTATCAATCATGGCTTTAAACCACGTGCACATGATAATAATTCGCATTTAATATATTTATATATATATTTTATATGTTATATATATATATATATATATATATATATATATATGTGTGTGTATTAAAATATGGAATACTTTAATAACAACTTTAATTTTATGGAATAAAATAAATAAACTAAAAGTAGCAAAATTCACATATATACATTTGTATATAAAATATTTATTCAACACATTTAAATGCCTTAAGTTGTATGTGTGTGTTGGAGTTTATACAACGTATCCTATTGGAAGGAAAGGCGCAGATTTTTACATGTTCGGGCAATATATACGCGGAATCATTTTTCAAACGTGTCTGCCGAAACACGCCGACCGCCACGCAATAAACGCAACTCGGTTGATCATTTAACTTGGGTTCTCGAAATCATTCGGCAAATTGAAGCGCGAGCCCTCACACGCGAGGGGTCTCTCGGCCGAGTGAACTTAAGCCGTAGATTGGTTTAGTCGCCACGCAAGCACGCCGCAGGTTGGTCGTCCTGCGGATCACGCGTCACCGAACAGGATACATCGAGGAGAGAGAAGAGGGTCCCTTTTCCCCTCCTGGTCCCTCCTTTCCCGTCTATTTCCCGTTTTTTTTCTTCCTCTTGTATTTTGCCTCACCCTTTTCGACAGATTCGGAAAACGATGTAGGAATCTCGCGGCAGGTGATGTAATAGTGATACATCTAAACTTCCCGCGAATTCAAGTCCTGACAATAATCCAAGCCCCTTGCAGAGACAACTGTCTCTCTCTCTCTCTCTCTCTCTCTCTCTCTCTCTCTCTCTCTCTCTCTCTCTCTCTCTCTCTCTCTCTCTCTCTCTCTCTCTCTCTCTCTCTCTCTCTCTCTCTCTCTCTCTCTCTCTCTCTCTCTCTCTCTCTCTCTCTCTCTCTCTCTCTCTCTCTCTCTCTCTCTCTCTCTCTCTCTCTCTCTCTCTCTCTCTCTCTCTCTCTCTCTCTCTCTCTCTCTCTCTCTCTCAAAGTTCCCCTCACAGATACATCTCTCTCTCTCTCTCTCTCTCTCTCTCTCTCTCTCTCTCTCTCTCTCTCTCTCTCTCTCTCTCTGCTGTTGCAAATTTTTGAACAAAATTTTTACGTGACAAATATTTCTTCCATGAGCAAAAAATAAAAATTTGCTTTTATTTATTTTACGAAAATTATGAAAAATATGATATAAAATTATCTCATACAAAATTCAAAAGTTAGTAAAAAATGACAATAAATTTCTTAAAATATGTCATAATTTTTTGATATTTTTAGGGGGATATATTTTATTATCTTATATATATAATTATTTGTGTAAAATTAGATTGAAAATTGATTCAGAGCAATCTTTTACTCGTAGTTTGATAATCCCATAAAAACTTTCCGATCTATCGCGGGGAAATTTCGGAGAGGATAAACACCGAGGAAATTTGGGGCGAATTTCGGTTTCGTGGTCCTTGTTCTCCCCCCTCCATCCCCCCTCCCCCCTGTCGATCTCGCGCTTCGAGAACTTTAGCGCGTTTCCCGAAGGATGTGAGAAAAGGATTAGGATCGGGGAATCCTAACGTGCGAATCGAGCGGAAGGGAGCTTTTTTTGCTTCACCGGATTCTGGAAAAGGCTCGCGAGGCCCCAAGGATTCGTTACCGATATTGTCATGGAAATTTGATATCACAGGATATATCTTCCGTCTCGCTATGATTTTAATATTTCTGTATCTAAGAATTTTCTTAAGCAAAGCCTTTCTATTTCACATACTATATAAATCTTACAATCTTTATAAGTATCGTAATAAAATCGTATTTTATTCCGCAATATAATTTACTGCTCAAGATATAATTAATAATCGTGTTAAATAAATATTAATAATTCTGTTAAATAAATATTAATAATTTATGTTAAATTAATGTAGTATACCCCCTTTTAAAAAATCTGATAAAGAATGAAAGTCTGGATGATTTTGAAAACTTTCTTTCAGTTTAAGCATGGATCGACGTGGTTAATTGCGATCGACTCTCTCTCTCTCTCTCTCTCTTTCTTTCACGATGTCTTCTTCCCTCTCGCACGTTTACGCGCGTGGGGTTGATAGATCGGCCCGACGAAACGAAGGGGTAGTTTGGCTTTAATCGATCCTGTAATCGCCACTCCGACAGTTGGCTCCGGCTGCCTTTTTGTCGGCAGTTAGATGGATGGCGCCATTTACATTTTGTCAGTGCGACATGCGCTAACGCCGCCGCGCTATCATATCTATCACATCCCCCTCCCTTCTCACCCACTTCCCCCGTGGTCCAGTGCGCGATCAGTTTCCTACTGTCCAGACTTGGAAATCTCTTCTGACGCGCGTAGCAAATGTGGCAGGTCTCTGAAGGCCATATCAATCGATTATATGGAGAATTACAATCTAAAAAATTGACAATATTCCAACGATATAAGAGAGACAAACGCGCAAATAATTCGTAAGCGCTTATTACGCACGAATTATTTATCCGTCGAAGATTTGAACGAGCTGACTTTCCCGGATCCTGACTTCGAACACCGATTTTACGGTTGACTTGGGAATGTGCGTCCCAGCGTATGCACTTCCAACCCAAATTCCATATAGGAATCCGAAAATTTTCGGAGGAAGCGAAAGTGAAAGAGACTGTCCGAAGAGACGATCTCCAGTTGACAGATCTGTCAACGTGGATGACACCTTCGGCAAGAACGAATCGGCCAGGTGGCCGCTGTCGAAGCAAGGAGACGACTCTGTCTATATCTGCTCTCTCTTTCCTCTCTTCCCTTTTCCTTTACCGTTGCCGGCATCTGCCGGATAATACCCGGGATTATAGCAGTAGGATAGGAGGACCCACTGACATCGGGCTCGGACGCGGGATGAAACATTCCTGCGTCGAACTTCACAACCATAAACAGATCGATCATCTTTCAAACGGTTTGACGACAATCTAGAATCGAGATGATAATATCGGATAAGATTCATGCGTGTGAATCTTCGCGAATCTCGAAGAAAAAGAAAACCGTACAAATGCGTGTTACTGATGAGAAAAATCACAAATATTCAAAGACGAAAAAACTTTGTTGAATTTAATATTGTTGTGTATATTTCTCTTATATATATATATATGTATTTACACCAAAATATGGAAAATATATTTTAAAGCAGGTAACATATATAATGCTAAATCGTTTCCCAAATATATTTTTTATGAAATATTGCATAATATAAGCAAACTTTTGCTCTTCGTTAGAATCGGCAGAAAATCGAAAAAAAATGTATACCCACCGCTTTGATTGGTTCCGATAAAAAGTTTCATGGCAAGAGCGTTAACTACCTCTCGCAACATTGAGATCGCAGCAAACATCTTTCGCTTTGAAAAGTCAGTTTGAACTGATGGAGCACCGACCTATTCGCTTTACGATCGCCTCGACTACCTCCGCTCGAGAATTCGAAAGCGGGTGCGGAAACGATAAACGCATACGTATACCAATTGTACACACACATACACACTGCGAAAGTAGTATACGACTTACCTCCCACGCGTAACGGGGGTTGAAAGGCTCTCCTGCCCATTTGCCGAGGTACGGGCCGAATTTCTCGCCGCGAGGGATGTCCTTGCGTGCGCGAACGTACGGGCCATCGGGTGCCGAACCGCCGATCTCGATCGCTGGGATCGGTGACACCCATTCGCGACTCGAGTGATCCTTGGGCTCCTGCTTTATCTCTTGCTTTATCTCCTGCTTCATCTCCTGCTTCATGTCCTCTACGCAGACGAACGTCAGGGTGTGTTTATCGATATATTTCTGTTAAGAAACGGAGAATCCCGAAAAGACTGCGTGTGATTGCAAGAATTAAAAATCCAAAGAATAGAAACTTGATTATAGCATTAGTACTTGGATGCACGAATTTAACAAATTCTCAATATTTTTTTTTATATGTAACCGACAGTATAGTAAAGTAAGCGTCATAAAGATACCAAGATTTCTACTCTGAAAAAATCTAGAAAATCTGGAATTCGTTTTTACCCTGAAAATCAGAGGATTCTGGTGGAGTTTTATTGAAACTTTGGATTTTTTTTTAAATCTTTTTTTTTTATAATGTTGCTCTTCGCGAGCGATTTACCGATTGGTCGAATTAGCATTAAATAATGATATTGCTCTTGTCCAAATTGACTTTACGATTAATATATAAATTGATATTAAATACTAGAAAAAATACCACTGTATTTTATTCAGCAGTTAAATATTTATTTTGAAATATATTTATGAGAATTTTGAATAATGTATTTAAAATGTATTATAAAATATATAATATTATCTAGTTTATATATTTTTAATGTCTTAGCAAAACACTAAATATGTAATATATAATTTTTATTGTAATTCTTGATGATTAAAAACTGAAAATGTTATGCAAAATGCAAAAATGCTTATTTGATGAAGGCCGTTCTTTCAGTTACTTTTTTAAATCTAACATTTATCAAACTCAAGTAGCTCTTTATTTTATTTTATTTTATTTATTTATTTATTTTTTTTTTTTCAACCTTTTTGACCAACCCGTCGTAATCGCGGTGAGACGCTCAACTTGTATAGCTCTTTTTTTTTTTTTTTTTTTTTTTTTTTTTTTTTTTTTTTTTTTTTTTTTTGGTCGAGAGAATTTAAAAGAATGCTCATGATAAAAAAAAACTTATTTTAAAAAATTTCATCTAAAAATTCTGTAATATTTTACCTGGAATTTAGAACAAAAATATCTAAAAGATGGGGAAATTCTGAGAAATTTTTTTCACACACGCAAGATTTGATTGGACACTCTTTGAAAACTGCACTCTCGAAGAACAGCAAGACTCACGATACTCGCTGCTGTAATCCCGCGATCTCGAGTATTCTTTCCGCGCGTTCGTCTCGCCGTAGTCCCAGGACGATTTTCTCTCCTCCTTAAAAAACGTCAACGGCGGATGCTTCTTCGCGACATGGCGCTGTCGTAATTCCATCCCTGGCGAATAGCCGCGCCGCTGATAGGCGGTAGTCCACGATTGCTGATTGTAATCCTGAGACACCTCATGCGCGCCGCCAGGGGCTTGAAGGGATCTCGGGTCTCTGTAAACGGGATTGTTGTTGCTGCTGCTGTTGCTGCTCGTGCGAGTCGATCCGTTCTCCTCCATGTCTGCGTTCTCGTTGCTGCCACCCCCGCCTGTCGCCCCCGACGTCGCCTCGCCTTCGTCGCTGCTTCCTGGGAAGAAGAAAATATCGAGATTGATAAATCTTGAATAAATGTCCAAGAGGACAAAAAAATTAATTTTTTTATATTTATTTTTTTTTTTAATTTATTTGTAATAATACCGTGTGTTTCTGTGATTACAAAAAATATTGTAAATTTATTTTACTTTTGACATTTTTTAGTTTTATATTCAATCTCTGAAATTAAAAATAGAAAAATTAGACTAAACAATAGTTTCTATCAACAATGACATTAGTCAATTCCAGAGATGAGATAAATAATTTTTTTTAATAAATAATTATTAGATAAGTAATATTAAATAAATATTAGACAAATAATTATTTTTTTAATCAATTATTTTTGATCTCTGTAACTATAATTTGTCCTCATTTCGTGAAAACTCTCACGTATCGATTACTTGAAAGATGCGGATCGGCATTTTAAACGTTTATTGCACATTCAGTAACACATTATACGTCATTTGCGAAAGTTCTATTTCTACTGGAAGAATCTACACACATAGAACGCGTTGATGAGAGACGATTTTCCGGAACGTGACGTATTGATTGGTCTTGATTTCTGAGAAAGCGGCAGCTCGCTGTGTTCCCGCGATAAAGTATCACGCGGTTCGTGATATTAAACCCAAGTACGAGCGTTTTGTTGCGGGAAAGGTCGTGGCTTCGTGTAAACTTTGCGTCTCAATGAAGGTCGAAAAATTATGAATGGTCTCACACGAGAGGTGCGATAAATTTATTCCGCGATTCTCTCTTTCTCTCTCTTTCTTTCTCTCGCTCTCTTTATAACTTGACGAAATCCTAGACACACAAGGACAAGTGCCAATTGGCATACGCTATCTGCGGTACGTTTCTTCGACGCAGCTGCCGCACGCATGCAGTGACACCCAAGCCGAGGATGTTTGCCGTGATAAGGATTTTATTGTCCTCTCTTGTCGGCTGTTCTTGTGATGCGCCGTGACGTCATCCAGCGCGAGACATTCTCGCGAAACAGTACCCATCGTATCTGTATTGTCAAATAACTTTGCGATTATCGCGTCGAACTCTAGACAAGGGTATGCGAATGTAATAAAAGACGATTTTATTATTTAAAAATATCTATTATATTTCAAATTCAATTAATGTCGCGCACAAACATTTCCATGAAGAATATTAAATCTATATTTCTAGCATCAATCATCCATTGTCTATAAGTCTATATTATCGTGGCAATTATTTTATATATTATTCTTCGAAGCAATAAAAAAATATCGCGTGAATCTGGTTTTGTTTGTACAACTCGCTCTAGCCGGCCCTTTTTAATGGCCCGTCTTATCTCCGAATCGAAAGATATCCACGCGTTGTATCGACTATCTAAAAACAAACTGTAAACTTTACGCGCGTCCTCGAGTCAGCGAAGATTGAGAGAGAGAGTCCTCTGCAAATAGCGGGAGTTCCGTGTGAATCGGCGACTAAGCAAATGATCGTTTTAGCGACGAGCTGGCAGGTGTATCAAATAGGTAGATAAATCGTCGACGAGAGAGACGGAGGGAAGAAAAAGAGAAGGAAGTACTATAATTTTACAATCAAAATTTTCTCACGATTAATTCGAGAAAAATATCGCAAATTAAATTAATTTTTTCGCGTCGCGCATCTTGCTGTCAAAAACTTAATTGAAGCGAAAAAAGTAGAGACGAAAAATATCTTTTTCTTTGACACGGTTGGACTATGTACGATTCTTATACGGCAATAAAATGTTAAAAATATCAATTTTACGATGCCGGCTTCAATTCCATTCTAATCGAGAGAGTAAACAAAGACTTAAGGATCCCCGTCGATTGACGTCGGTGCGGTAAGTCGTAAAAGAAAACGGTGATCCTGCAAGGCGTGCTAGTCGACACGAAGCTCAAAGAGACAGGATGTCTACGAGTGGCGATATCGATACGTCACGGCTAATAGAAGGAAATAAATCGCTGATAGTCATTTAGTATAGACACTCTGATTCCTAAAATGCAAATTATTCTATAACTCGTATCAAACTATTTGTGTGAATAATTACATCACAATTATGTAAACGAGAGTAATTTAAAAACAAAAATAAAAAATAAAGCAGTGTTAATAAAATTCTACATATTTATCATAATTACTCCAGAAAATTTTTATATATAAAGATCTCTGCAAATTAATGATTTTTTATATAATATTATACTTTAAAAAAAAATTTTTAAAGATTTATATATACATTTAAAAAGAAAGAGAAATAAAGGCTATTAATAGAAAAGCGATAATAATAAAAATAGTTGCGGGCAATTGCATACAGTATTGTTATCCCAAATTTGGATCTAAATCCGAGCAGAACAAACACGATTCAGCGGACATTCGCTCGCGGACGGAGATGATCGTAAAGAAGAGACTTGATCGCGCGAGGGTACGTCGGATACTCCACTCCAGATCCTCTCTCGCGCGGTAGAGTCGATATGATACAACAACAATATTTGGGAAAGCCCTCGAAAGCCCAGGGGTCTTTGACTCCTGTGGGATACAAGTGCCGGGAGTATTTTCTCCCTTGACAGAGAGAAGTATGAGTATACTTGTTGAGCCATGCGTGACATTATCCGCGATGATAGCGAGGCTCAAGAGGCTCTATGGATGATTAGAGCAAAGTGCCGCTCTAGTACAACGCTTAGTGTATCCGACGCAAATTAATCGTGGGAAGAATTTCTTTCTCTTTTTTTTTTTACATATGTATATCGATCGCGCGAGGAATTTCCCCGTGGACGCTCGAGAGACTCGATTATCCGTAACAGATTTAATCCCGATAGGGGCACAATAAGAGACGTCAATCTCTGCTCTAGGTTTATGAAGTTTTATACCCGTCTCTTGTAACATCGAGAAATAATTTTCTCTCACACTATCCAAGAGAGAGGAGAATTTTTATTATCGAGTCTGCGAGTAGAATATCACGGACGCTATACGCGCCATTTTATATAAATATAAATTACGATAAGTAATAATTACAATATTATTAGTGGCTGATGAAAATTATATTCTATCAGTTCAGCGCCATGCTGTTTGAAATAATAATAAGTGTTTATATGTCCATGCGGCGATTGAAGTAGTTAGCGAGTTATAAAGCAAATGACTCTTTTGCATCGCACGGGCCTATTGTGTCGATCGATGATTGATGCGCGTGTGCGATTCACCTCGTGAATTCATCCATCGATTGCCTCTAGTGTAGCTGAAGCTGCACGCGTCGAATGTATACACAATTGACGTTTCGCGATCGAAGGGCTTAACGAACGATCGAGCAAATGATGGATTAATCTACCATTAAGTAGACAAACGCGCGCGCGTCAAAATATCGTCAAATGAATTTTGAATAAGACTAAATGGCAAAACTTATACAAATTTTTCTCTTAAATCGCTCTCTTTTCTGAGATATATCCAAGTCAAATTTTTTTTCTACTTTCGATCAATTTTTAATCTAACATAATTTACTTTGATACTTTAAACAGACTGATCACTCTCTTTTCAAACTTTTTAATCTATAATTTTGCCCTCTAATAAGGAAAACTGTTCGTTTACTGCCTATTTAAAGTGCAAAAGAAACATTCAAATTTTAAATTGATTATAAATTGCATTTATATAAATGTATAAGTTAAAAATTTTAATAAGTAATAAAATATTATTACCTATTAAAATTTAGAATCTAGAATTCATAAACATGAGAGTGAGCACTGTAAAAAAGATTGACTTTTTTGCAGACACACTGTCTCAATTTTCGGACAAAATGCTCTCTGAATTTCCAGACGCACTTCAATTTTCAGAAAAAAGACTCTGATGATTAAGACAGATCGTCCGAAATTTCGTTAGAGTAATTATTATTCTCTCGCATATTTTGTCATAATTAATTTTTTTTTAACTATGTTATTCTTGAAAAAGTTCAGAATAATGCATCTCGAATGTCCATGAAGTAGGGCTATTCGAGGAGACGCGAGCGCGCGCGCATGAACTTCCGGAAAAGATAATTAAGCAAATTGGCGACTACAGAGATGTCGGAAGGAGCGATTGCACCGCGCGGCGTTACCGCGTTGCTTTGACCGCACAGGACATCCTGGCGATACGAGGATCCTTTGGAGAACACAGGACATGCTTAATTTGCTGCGTCTGCGGGCAGAGTAAAAGCTCCCAAAGCTCCGTTGCGGATAACGCGATTAAAGACGCAATCTCGCTGACAATATCAGATCTCCCTATCAGACCGAAGGGGGCGCGGATAGAGGCGATAGAGGTTAATTAGAAAAGCGACGGAATTCTGCGGCCAGGAGCAGTATCGTGAAACGTCGATAACATTATCAGCGTGTCACGGAATTGCCGAGGTCCGAGGCAGGCCAAATTGGACGAAAAGATCGAATCTCCGGCTTCCGGACAGACTGCGGTCAAGCTTCCTCGATGTTTGCGCGGAATCGAGGATACCCTCGCTTCAAACACGACACTTATGGAAATACTGAGCTCGTAATGACAGCGACGAACAATGCTTTGAAAGCCGAACGCATCAATTTTACTTCAAGCCTATCTTAATAAAGTCAACGTCGTCTTATTTACGTAGCAGATGAGAGCAGATGGCCAATCTTTAAATTGTCCCATTTACTTAAACCGTAGCAAACTGTCGATGAAATTAGACTAAAATGTGCGATTTATCTAAGTAAAACTTGACGCAGAGCAGATTTAATTTTACAAGTATACATCTTAATTTGATAAGAATTCGTTCAATCAAGATTTGGTTTGATTGCCATATCGTATATCAAAAATTTTGTCTTATCAATTCGTTTAGT